GAACATTTTGAAAAGGAGTAATTTATTTTCTTCAATATGGCCGTTGGTATTGTGATTAGGTCACAATAATTCTGCCAATGTCCAGTCATTGGTATCTCATATCCTGGCTTGAGGTTTCTCGGTGGGGTAATGTGACAAATAATAAAATTGGTAAGATAAAATCAAAATATATACATAGTATACAATAAGACATAACAAAGTAATACTAAATGTTCGGGATGGTGATTGTTTACAAAAAAGATTGATTTTTAAATCTATTCATATCAAAAACAGATGAATCGATTAACAAAAATATTGAGATCTAAAGGATTGAGATCTCTAAAATCGATCTTTTTTTCGACTTTGTACAACAAAACAGATTGATTACAAACATAACTTTTTTTATTTCCATAATCATTAAAAAGTTAAAGAAAATGACAATTTTGCAAGTTTTTAATAATTCTATGAAAAACTGTCATTTCTTTACATATGCATTTGGGTAAATTCTACTTATTGTAAATAATTTTATGGTTCTTATTAAATCATAAAATATCAAAGTTCGATTATCACACAGCCTTTTTGGAACAATAAATTTATTCTTCGATTAATTGATCTCAGATGACCATGCCTACTAAACATAGTATATAGTAGTTATACATAGTATATGTTGAATGTAGAGAACTGGAGATTTTTACTGGAAAGAGGCATTCCATCTTAGTCCTGAGAGGTGAAAACACATCTGCTTTTGATTCTTAATTGAGGATAAAGTAGATGTATGTGTTCTAGGATCCACTTATCATCAGGTGGACTGTGTGCTTGTTTGTCACTCTTATTTTTATATAAAAGTATGTAAATGTAATTCAATACAAATGTAGCAGCTACTACACATATTCATGTCTAGTAGGTACTTATACAACTTGGCTAAAACAATTGGGCACATGACAGGAATGCGGTTCCAGCACCTGCACACTGCCTATACCTACGTTTCCCCTAGTGACCCATCACCGTTCCGGTGTTTCCTCCATTAGCTGTTATGCGTCCAGTTGTTTTGGTCATGTAGTACTATATGACTACTGATTGGCCCGTTTCAACCTCAGCTTACTCCATTGGGCTATGGCAGTTACTCTTGTCTTGTCTACTATGAATATCCTCCATATTCCCTATCTTGCCCTTCAGCTCGTAAGAGTCCACTGCTGGACATGGACCTTGGTAGGGAGAATTCACCTTTATCACCACATATTGTGGTTGTACCACAAATGGGTCGATTCAAACAGTAGTAACACCACACTCTCACAAAATACAACCATAGAGTACTGGAGACCCTTTTTACTGGAAACGGTGCATTCTGTCTTAGGCATCAGCGGTGACAATGCATCTGCATTTTGATTCTTAATTGAGGATATATATATATAGATGTATATGGGCCACAGTATCCACTTGCCATCAGGTGGACTGTGTGCTTGTTTGTCACCCTTATTCTATAAAAAAAAACAATAACGTTTTTGATGACAGGCGATGGCGCTGCCCGCGTAGTTCTTAATGCTGTCTTGCCAAAATATGCTACGGTTGTCACAAAATTAGGAATAAAATAATTTTAGATATCATTATACTCATAATCATTTATTAACATTATGTATGTACATAATTATAGTTAAAATAAACATTTATTGAACAAAAACATTTTTATTACTACATGATAAAATATTTGTACAACTTGACCAAAACAATTAGGCGCATGACGACAGGAATGCGGTTTCGGCGCCCATACCTTGCCTCTATTCCCCCGCGCTTCATCAAGTGACCAATCACCATTTTGGTGTTCCCTCCCTAGTTATAATGACGTCTTAGCTGTCATGCGCCTAATTGTTTTGGTAACGTGGTACAGGTGTTGCACTGCCAAATTTGTAAGTGTTACAAATTTGGCAGTGTTTTAATAGATGTTTTCAATTTTTGATTGTTTAATTTATGTATATAGTAGTGATGTAACGAATGTTGGATTTTTCACATTCGCGAATGCGAATGCGATTGCGAATATTTATCTTCAACATTCTCGAATGCGAATGCGAATGAGAATATTTTAAAATTTCGAAAAAAGCGCGCGTAAAATGTTTGACAGGTTTGACGTTTCGTGTCGGCCATGTTTAAATTGAACATAGCCGAGCCGATATTGGTTATAGTTCGGCCGTTCAGAGAATGCGTTCCTGACACGTCGCAATTGAACTGACGATGTAACTTTGTAATGGCGTTGCAGTTACGATAAAAATATTTTTGCTGGTTGTTTACCGTTTTAACAATTGATGAGTATTAATACAACATTATTATATCAATAATCAATTCATGTTATAATTTTGTGCCAAACTGAGTGTCAAATAACTTGGTAAACAATATTTTTCTAAATCTATACTGCGCTATTACAAGGTTATGTTAGCGCTTTATATTTGTAGTGCTGTGCTAACAATAACAGTATCGTAATCTGTTATTATACAGTTATATTTTATAAAATAATACGTTTTGTTTTTCTTTTTAAGAATTTGAAAATAATGGACTATAAGATAACTTTTATTAAATATAAAAATAAAACCAAACCGAACGCGCGAAAGAAAGTAGCATTTTTATATTTAGGTTAAAAATGGTAACCCCAAATGGCGTTATGGGCCGCCATTTTGTGACGCTAAAACAGTCGTCTGTTGTCGTTTTGTGCGCATAGACCACGTTCTTCAAGTGTTTTCGATCTGTTTTTATTTGATTACCCGGCTTTCGTTTAATGGACTGTTTCTGCTTTTGAAACTGACATCGGCGCTAAATCTGATTTCGATTGTTTTGTATTGCGTTCTTTTTACTTTTGGTGCATAATAATGCCTAAACTTGGACAAACATTGAAAAGTGGAGCCCGTGAGTTAATCATCAAGCTGCAAGATTACTTTGAGCGGGAGCGGCAAAATGGCGGACCCCTGTTACCTGTCGAACAAGTTAGTCCAACAAGCTTGGAGTTAGCAAATGAACGATAACAAATATTAATAAAGAAAAGTTTGGCTCTACTGGCACGGAAGATAATATTATACGTACTCCGAAGAAGAAACGTTAAACTAAACCCTTGACAGATATTGACACCTTTGACGCCGATGCAATCAGAAATCATATATATGGTTACTATTCCAGAAATGAATATCTCAACAGGAAGAAGCTTTCGGCATCGTTAAGAGAAGCTGGACTGTTTAGCGGGGGTAAAACTGCTTTAAGCAACATCTTAAAAGATATTGGTTTTTCGTATAAAAAAACAGACAAAAGAAAAAATTTATTAGATCAATACGACATAATTTTAAAACGGATAAGTTTTTTGAGAGAAGCAAAAAATATTGATAACTGAGATAATGTCGTGTTCTTTGACGAGACATGGCTAAACGCCAATCACACGGTTTCCCGTTCTTGGACGGATGATACACAAGCGTCGACGTCGAAAGAACCAATGGGTAAGGGGGCCCGTCTGATTATATGCCACGCAGGTTCTGCAAAATACGGCTTTGTGGAGAACACGTTACTGGCATTTCAATCAAAAACCACAAATGACTACTACGAGGAAATGAATGCCACTACATTTAAAGAGTGGTTCCAGAACGTGCTTTTGCCCAGCCTACCAGAGCCTTCTGTAATATTCATGGATAATGCCTCCTATCACTCGGTTCAAATACAGAAACCACCTACCCAAGCTAATAAAAAAGAAGAAATTGTGGCTTGGTAGAAACAAAAGGCATTGACGCAAATATGCAGATGCTAAAACCAGAGCTAATTAAATTAGTTAAAGAAAATAAAGCGGCAAATGTGCGATACGAAATCGATGAACTGGCTCTGGAGTACGGTCATCACGTTCTAAGAATTCCACCGTATCATTGCCAATATAACGCGATTGAGCTAATCTGGGCTCAAATAAAAGGTTACGCCGCCCACCACAATACTTCCCCGCCATTCAGCACGAAAAAGATGATGACCCTATTAAAAGAAGCCTGCGGGGAAGTCACAAAAGATGACTGGGCAAAGGTTGTTGAGAAGACTAAAAACCTGATTGTGGAACATTTTGACCGAGATATCAGGATTGATTCTGTTATTGATAATAATATCATTATACATGTAGGCGAAGATGATGATGAAGACACCACCTCCTCAAGCGAATCGGAGTCGGATTAATATTCTGTACGCACATCCAATTCAATGTACTTTATTGCATAGAAATACAGATTGTAACTTTGTAACAAAGAATAAATAAAACAATTTTATTGTATTAATCAACTTTATTTTAAAATGGTAGAAAAGTAATAATATACTACTAAATAAATGCAAACCTTACATAGTTGTACATCAGATCTCTTGAAGTTCTTTTTTCATAAATGAGACTTTAATTTAGAATGTAGAAGTATGATTTAATAAAAATATCTAAGTGTTATCTATTGTATTATTATTTCATATGCATGCATATAATAATTTCCTTTTTGATTATTAAAAACATTCACTAAATATTAGCATAATTTTTGCGAATGCGAATGCGAATATTGAAAAATATGCGGATATTCGCGAATGCGAATGCGAATATCCGTTACATCACTAGTATATAATATACATTTGGATGAAAAAAAAATTGTCTAACAAAAAATTAGGCAAGCATAAGCATGGCTGTGAATTCAACTCATCTATCTATAACAGTAATTCACCATTATGGGTATATTTTACGAAAACAGCACTTAAAATTAGTTAAATACTATAAAACATGCTTGTGTCAATGTTATACTCTCTTTAAACTGTGATGCTGCTCCTAACTGCTGTTCTGAATATTTTACTTTTATACAGTCATCTTTCAAACACTGACATTTTTTGGCATTTCTCATAGTTGTCTCTTACGGAACAAATTGGATCGGTGGATATTCTTACAACGCCACCTCATGGCAATATATATTCCATATACTCTACCAGTATATAATAAAGTATAAATGAATACTTAGATTTTAAACAAATATAATGTCTATTATAGAATGTCGTCTCGACGCAACGGCTCAGTGTCTCGGGCGGCTGAGGCGGCGTCCAAGAATCGCTTGCACATGGACCGCAACCCGCAGCACTCGAGGTTGACTGGTGAGCATTTCAAATCTATATACAGTGGATTTCGGGTATAAGGGTGATGAAGGGACCACTCTATTTTCGTCGTTATATCCGAAAGTCGTTACAGGCAAAGGTAACAAATTCAATACATTATAGTTGCTACTCAGAATATCGCTTTGTAATTGAACCATAAATTTAACTCCCAAACATACAAACTTTCCTACCTACTTATCTGATATCTATAAACAAAAGTTAAAGGTCTCCACGCTTGCTGACCATCTGTGTGAATGTAAACAAAACATGTTGAAATGTTTGTGAAAGAGCATCCAACTTCCATCCAAAATCTGCATGGGATTTCTAAGAATTTGTTACAAATGATTAATAAAAAACAGTCCCTACACCCAATTTAACATCACTATAGGTAAATGGTTGCTACAACCAAGATATCCATTATACCATATGTTCCATTGACTTTGAGTTTAGTTCTCAATATTCTCCTCTTGTCCAATGGACAATAAAACTAAATGTATAATTTTTACAACACCAAATTACCAATGTCAATGTGCTTTTAGATTTATTTGGTTGAGCCATGTTACTTCCCTGTTTTTTTTTTTATTACTCTATGAACCTGCCGCTCAGCGGCACCTGTGTATTTAAACATATATTTAAATCAGGTAGACTAAGCTTTGCAGTGGATATCATAATAAATTTTAAAGAAAATTTTTGTCGCTAAGGGTGGTAAAATAGGGGATGAAGTTTTTCATGATCATCATTACAGCCCTTCACAAGTCCACTGCTGAACATAGGCCTACTCCAAGGAATGTCACAAAGCACAGCCCTGAGCCACCTACATCCATCGACTTCCTGTTCCTGTATGTTTTACCAACTATAGTTTTTAATATTTAGACATTCTAATTTATCTATATTAACTTATTTATCTTAGTCCACTCAAAATTGTAAAAAATAAAAAAAATAAGGAAAACAATTCCATCTAATAACTGCAGCAACTTTACAAGCTATTATGTGGAATTTTGATTGAACTATGAATTGTATTTTGAGTGGACTAAGGAATGTCACAAGTTCAAGGTTTAATATGTGGTAGAGCCATGCTGCAGCTATAACTATACTAGTAGTATAGTAAAGGGAGTGATGTACTCGTCATTGATGTTGGTACTGTATACTATCCAATCCAGCCAGTTAAAAACTACTTCCAATGCAGCGGTGAAGAGTTTCAGGGTAACATCAACCTCTCTGCACTCTGTTTCGTACTCTGGTTCCATACTCAGACAGCCACTGTAGCTCTACAGTACAAACACTAACACTTCAATATACGGACTGTCGACTTGGCACTGCTAAAGGGGATACTTTTCGACGGCATGTAGTACATCCACTTAAGCAAGATGAAGTGGTAGATTGTACTCTTTAATCTTCTTTTTTTATACATCCCAATTCTGTTCTTAATTTCACCAATTTCTCAGAAACTGCTAAATTGATTTGAATTATTCTTCTTCTATTATATGGGTAACAGGGTGGAGAATGAGGAATGTTACTTTTTTTATAGGATAAGGGTGACAAAAAGCACACAGTCCACCAAAACCAACCTTGCTCTTTCAACATCAGCACTAAGTCTAATTGTTAATTAGACTTAGTGCTGATGTATAGTAAGATATATATTCCCCCCCCCACCCCACCCCCCCACCCTACCAAATTTGATTCCCAGAAAAACAGTGGAGTCCATAAGACTTCTATTCGTCCCTATAGTTAGCTATAGTTCTTGCAATTCACGAAGTCGAGCGGGCTTTACTTTTTGTTAGTGTGCTTTTTCTTTTAATAACTGGCTTTACGACTCTGGGTTCTAGCCCTTCTGAGCCTGAAGTTACATTGTATAATTATCCTTCATAGTACACTGCTTCACAATAGGTTAATGCGTCACATTGTGCAGCCCTTGGAAGATTTTGAGGGCAACTTGAGCCAGCAGACACCTGACAATTTGCGATGGTATCTGAAGGCGCCTAAGCAGACACCTTATCTTGAGAATCAGGTCACCATCAGAGCACTTGTTTCACCATTTCCACTAATAGTTTACAGCGCGTTGTCTATAGCGCACAGCAACCACTTACCATCATGTGGAATGTGTGCTCGTTTGTCACCCGATCCAAAAAAAATGTAGACATTTAATACACAAAATCGCACCACTTTTACATATCAAAATCCACTTCAAACCATTATTTAAACAATAATACAGGAGCAGCAATCTGTCGCCGGCCAAGTTCCCGTCAAAACTCGGTTAAAGTGTGCGTGAAACCAAAAGCACAGAATAAATAATAGTACTACAAAAGCGAGTACGGTTAGCGACAGCACGCTCGCAACCACAGAGCAAATACAAAGAGGAGGTGTTGTAAATAGATTTCACTATGTAACAACGCGAGACAATTTGCGGGGTGAGGGGATGTTGAGCCCCGCCCACTTTACACTATCTACATCTACCAATAAACAGTTCCTAGCTACTCGAAACTACTCGAATCGTTCATATATCGATGTTGCAATGTAGTTTAGCTACCTTGACGATAGATGGCGGTCTGTTCACAAAATGATTATGAAAACTATAAAAATAATATTTTGGCGATTAAAAATTCTTTAGGACTGAATGCAAAACAAATTTCAACACCTTCGTATGATTATTTTATCAATACTGTGCTCTACGTAACTTTATATTTTTAGTTCCCATGACACAAAGTGTCACCATCTTGTGTCGAATATATTTATTTACATTTGAAAGCCGACGCATAGATTTTTCTAAAACTTTTGAATAAATTAGGTATAAAATTACTTACAAATGAAATGTAATGCCGTCCATAGCATCAGAGCGTCTCTATTTGAGTAGTTTTTACAGGATGAAACACAATACTTCATCCTTTTCTTCTTACTCCGAAAATACACCGATTTGCGATTTTCGACACATACGCGCTTAGGACAAACGTTGACAGTATACTAAATAAAGCCATGCCCACTGTGATGACGTCAGGACCTAGTTAAAATCACAGTGCACAGTTGCTTATGCCATCTCTTTGTATTTGCTTCGTGCTCGCAACTGATCCCTCCGTCACAACCGCACACTATCATGTCTGATAATTTGTATAATGCGTGTCGCCGAAACTAGATCTTCTAATTGATGGCCAAATGTCATGATTTTGGGTGTTTAGAAAATAATTTATTACAGTTAGTAACACTACTTCTAAAGTTTATGCGGAAATTCATTAATATAATATTGTATATGATTTAAAAGAAATTATTAACATAAACATAATTTCATCAAAAATAAGTAATTAAAATATTAATAAAAAAATATGTTCATTTGTATTATTCCAAAACTTTTTTAATTATTAGTTCTATTTATGTAGTTGACGAAGTTTACTTCCGGTTGATGACGCCATTGTTCGTCACTAGGTGGAGAGAGGGAAAAGGCGAAACTGCAAGCAATGGATAGATTAATTATAGTGGGAAGCTTTAGAGTCGAAAAGATTACTTAATCAAATGATACTCCAATTTACGTAATTATATTTATATATTACATTTGGGTCATCGAATATAAACAAAGATAAAAATTGCAATGTGCATGTACATGTTTAACTACAGGTAAAACCAGCTCTTTATGAAAAAGAAAGACAGGCTGTGTTGAAAGAATTTAACGCAAATGTTTTGGATGTCGATTTAGTGCAAATGGTTTTATCAAACCCCAAATCAAAGATCTCAAGAGGGTTATTTCGGCTTGTTTCTAGGACGGAATAATTATCTTCTCTTCTTCAGTATGTTTATTTTTAGGTTAGTAATGTAATTAGTACTCACAATTATACATTTTTATTTTGTTCTAGTGTTAGCAGTAGTTAGTATAAGGTATGATGGGATTGTCATGTCATTTTCACAAAAGTCCCAAAAATATTAAAGAAAAAACAAAGTAAAACCCGCTCGACTTTGTGAATTGTAAATACTATACTGGGTGGCGCCCAGGTTATCACGTTAAATAGCACAACAGTTAATACAAGTTGATATATGTCTGTTAAAATAATAAAATAAACAATAATAAAAACTAATAAAAAATGCATCTTTCAAACAAAATAAATAGGGTAAAAAATCACATAAAATAAATCATCCTTGATAATATTACTTAACTGACCTGAAATGACTTGTAGAAGCGGCAACGTCGCGGCCAGCGGTTCATTGCTCATGCGACATCGATATAGGTAATTATATTATAATACCTAGGTCCTAGGACTTGCCCATACATAGGTAATTAGGCACGCGTAGGGCGATGCTAATCCGATGTTATCAACAAATCACAAATTTCATGGTATTTTTTTATCCAAATAATCACTTTAACCTTGAAATCACTCAAGTTTATGAAACAAATCAAATTTTTAAATTTTCTAAATGTCCGCCGTGTACCCGAATGCATAATTGACATCGTCGGACATACACGTGTGGTATTATACCTCTCTCGGTATGTTCGTAATGCCAGGGACGCGTTTTGGTGGCATTCTCCATAAATTAAAACCATATCGGTGTATTCCAATGACGTAAAATTGATACGAGGCATTTTAAAATAAAAAAAGTTATACGTTTAAAAAAATAAAAGCGTCCAATTGCGCACGAGCTGACACACCACTAAGTTATTAAATATCACTTATCTATTATTAACGAGTCCTATCACAAATAAAAAATACAAGACAGTAAAAGAAAGCGTCAAATTTCGCACAAATAGTCACACCACCTCCTCAACACAATTATTATTATAGTATTAACGTGTCCTATCACAAACAAATCAAGAAACTTATGAAAATATCCACAAAAAAAAACTTTAAATTAAAAGGACGTGTACGCGAAAAACTAAAATTAGGTCAAGCGATTAATGAACCGTTCCCAAGGACGCCGGCGTCGGACTAAGTGACTTACTGTCTTACTTTATCGTCGCACGCGCCAATCGACCACATCCCACCCTCCCAACACCCCGTCCCAGTTCTTGTCGCATCGCGCATAAGAATTATGCCTTATTTTGTTACATATAAGTACATTTTTTGCTTAATTTATTACTTTATTTGATTATTTAAAATTGGCAACGTTGCACTATAATACAATATAGGTCTCTTGGCCTTCACGGGCCATGGGTCTTTGAACTTCTAGTATTTATCAGGTGATATCTGATGCATTTACATGATGTTGTTTAATATTAAAACAAAAAAAAAGGCTACCGCGCCCAGATTGTTAATTGTTATATATTTTTTTAGTTGTGTATGTTTAAAGAACTTTGTATAGAATACGTCTTTTCATTTAACGTGATAACTTCATCGTCACTTTGTATAGTTCATTAGTTTCAGCAGGCTGTTTTCTGCAATTCCACGTTCAAAGCGTTTATTTTGCGTGTGACCAGGAATATTTTTGTTATTCAAGCCATTATATCTCGAAGAACATTACTAAACCCTTAATGTTACTGAAGACTTCACTGCTTGCAGGACTATATACCTATATGGCATAGAAAATTAACACAGTAAGTGACAACCCGTATGTGTCTTCTTCTTATTTTGTGATGGTTTGGTTAAATTCGCTAATGACGTATTGAATGAAAAATGAATACTGGTTGTTTAATTAAAATGTCTATGATAATGCAAGAGTTTACATTTCCTGCTAGAATTTTGGCAAATCTCCCTGGTTGAGTTACCTAGAACAAATGGTAAAATGTCGAGGATTTTGTTTTGTTATGTTAGGGCTGCAGCACGAATGCGTCGGCTCGACCGGGGTGGGACGACGCTCTTAGAGAATACCAGCATAAAGTAGCAGCTTAATATACTCCAGCTTCAATAACTCAAAAACTATTGGTCTGACCTTGTCAAATTCATATGGGACCACACGAGAAGTACCAGCTTTCAAATAAAAAAGAAGCATCGAAATCGATTCACCCAGTGAAAAGTTATGAGGTAACACACATAAAAAAACACAGTCGAATTGAGTACCGTCTCCTTTTTGGAAGTCGGCAGAAAAAGGAATGAAATGTTTTTTTTTATTAATTTTTCTTCACCATTTGCCTATATTACTTATTCTGAATTTTCTTTCTTCAAATTTGGCTGGTTATTGCAAAATAACCCTGTATAGAGATGATAGAGGTAATAAGCCAAGTTTTTCGAACGCTTGTTAACATTATTCATTTATTTGCAGACTGTACTTGTATAGCCTGCCTGCAATCTTCGTTTAACCTAATATTGAGCGTATTGGTATTAAACTGTTTATGTACCAGTATATGAACTAATCCAATAGGTAAGAGTGTAATTGGTTCTGACCCTGTGACACCTATCCACGTCTGTCTAGTTCGTCAGCAATGTCGTTGCCTCTAGAACCACTGACCTCTGATTCATTGTTTGGTAACGCTGTTGAATTTACATACCTCATTCAAACACTAAGTTGATGAACTTAGAACTAATACACTAATGTGTTTATCGTGTTGCTGTTCTGAGTATATTGATTTATATTTATACAGTATTTGTATATATATTTAGTCCTTTACTTGCCTAGCTGTTATCACTGTCGTCGCCTACTACTTCTCCCCATCTCTCTCCCACTCTCCCCTTTTTTGGCCCCCTCCTTTCGTTATATCAGTCTATCTCCGTGTTCTTCTCCTTTTTCATTCCCCTCCGCCTTTTGCAAATAAACAATTTTATTAGTGCCGACAGGATTCGAACTCGCATACTGTAAAATCTCCGGCGAGCCCATATCCCCTTAGATACTTTAATATATGAATTATAACTCCCCCCCCCCCCCCATGACTATGGGTGCTCTGAAGAATTTGAAACGTCGGGAATATACGGAGGGCCACACTGAAATGATCGGGAATAGAATATTTCGGATTGAGTTACAATAAAACCTTTTTTAGAATTTGAATACTGGCCTCTTAGAATCTTAATGACATTCAAACAATTAAAAAAAGGTTAAAAAACAAAAACTATGTTGGTTTAAAGTTGACACGTCGTTAACAGAAATGGAGCTCACGCGTGAACATTTCCGTGCCATAATTTATCACAATTTTCGTCGCGGCTTATCTAAGATAAATGTCTCAGCGAACTTGTTTCGGTTTATGATATTCAAGCACTGAGTCAAACGACAATATACCGCTGGTATGCCGAGTTCCTGTGTCGCTTAGCACTGTTTTTTCTGCAGGTCGACTAAGAACAGCGGTCACGCCTGAAAACATCGCAGCTGTGCGAACTATTATATTAAATGACCGTCATGTGACATACGAGCAGATTCGGGCTGTTATTAGTATCGGACTGCAATTCAGTCGATATTACGTAATGAGCTGTGTGTAAGAAAGCTAGTTTCCCGCTGGGTTCCCCACAATTTGTCCGAAGAGCAAAAGGCGGCAAGTGTAGATTGGTGCCGGAATACTCTGCAACGCTTCAACGGAGGGAAGTCAAGGAAGTGCCGTTTATAATAACCTCTCAGGTGACGAATCATGGACTTATTCATACGAACCTGAAAGAAAATATCAGTCAGCAGTTTGGGTCTTCGAAAACGAGGTCAAACCAACGTAAGTGGTTCGCTCCCGCAGCGTGTCAAAGAAAATGGTCGCTACGTTTGTCTCGAAAAAGAGACATATTGCTACAATTCGTTTACAGGAACGCAGAACGGCTACCGCTGAGTAGTATATCTCAGTTTGTTTGCCAGAAATGATAGCCGAACTCCGAAAAAATAACACGGAACGTCGCATCATCTTACATCACGATAATACGCCTCGGAAGACAAATGATTTTTTGAAGCAGGAAAACGTCGAGCTGATGAGCCATCCTCCGTACAGTCTTGACCTGAGCCCAAACGATTTCTTTACATTCCCTAGAATGAAAGATTTACTACACGGTCAACGGTTTGAAGACCCCGAAGCAGCTGTGGAAGCGTACAAATCAGCCATTTTGTCAACATCATCTTCAGACTGGAATTACTGTTTTAATTATTGGTTTTCACGAATGGAAAAGTGCATTAAGTTGAACGGAGAATACTTCGAAAAACAATAAAATACAATTTAGCTATACCGTGCATGTGGTTTTTCTTATTCCCGATCATTTCAGTGTGCCCCTCGTAAAGTGAATTAATGAAACGCTATAAAATCGGTAAAAAGCTTTTGAATGTGTAGTGTTAGTGTAAACATAACAAATCATAATGCATCTACATTTTTATTCTTCATCAGGGATCAGTGTGGCGGAGTCTATTAACTCCAGCATCAACTTGCCGCCAGGTGAATTGTGTGCTCATTAGTCACCTGTATTGTTAAAAAAAAAAGGTTAGAGGGTGACAGCAAAATGTTTGCAAAAGATACATTATTTATATAAAAAATAATTAACACAAAATAATAAAAAGAAAAAAAAATTGTATCAAAGACAAAAGTTCTCCACTCATGTAATCTGCACAGCCTGCCCACCCTGATTATCAGTGGAGCCTACTAATTAATATAATTTCCTTGATAACCGTTACAACTGACATATTTTCCCAGATCCATCCAACCCGGCTGGTAGACGCAAGGAGATTGACAATGTGATGAAGCGCGCACGTCAAGCCTCCCCGGGCAGTTGGGACAGGAAGCTGCTGGAAGTTGAAGAGAAGGACCCAAATCGGTAAGTGAAAAGTGTAATGTGAATCCCCAACTACATAGATTGATGACAAGATGTGGCATTCAGAAAGACTACCACGTTAAGTTATTGATCTAGTAGTCATAAGCGCCACTGTTGTTCATGTGTCCCCGGATTCTAATTCCAGGCCGGCCAAATTTAGTTATTGGGTTTTTCTGACAAAAAATTTTCAGTAGCAGTCTCTGGAGTCAAGAAGTTAGCGGTGTCTCACCCCTGTGCCTCTGAAAGCACGTAAAGCCGTTGCTCCTGCGCCTGATCTCTCTTCAGTCGTGTCGGATTGCTGTCATAGGATAATGAGAGTGAGGCAATAGAGAGTGTATCTGTGCTTGCGCGCACACTCGTGCACTATAACTCTGTCCTGCGCAGATGGCTAGTCTCCTTTGAGACTGGCCGCCGTAACCGAAATTCGGTCTGGAGGACATTATTCCAATCTCCAACTAGATAGATTGATAACCAGATGTAGCATTCAGACAGGCTACCGTATTGATTTGTTGGTCTAGTCTAGTACACAAGTAGTAAGCGCGACTGTTGATCATGTGGTGTTCGGGTTCGAATCCCGGTTTAGCCCAAAATCAGTCATTGGGTTTTCGGCAAGAAATACTCAGCCCAGAGTCAGGAAGTTGGTGGAGTTTCGCCCCCGTTCCTAGGAAAGCACGTAAAGTACCGACCTGTAGTAGTAGTAGCAGCTACCTGGTAAAAGATGCAGGAACTCGATGGATGCAGGTGGCTCAGGACCATGCTCTCTGTCATTCCTTGGGGGAGGCCTATGTTCAGCAGTGGACTAATGATGATGATTTACATAAAACCATAGCTCACATTTATTTATGGGACAAGTTCAATTTTTTGTCAACAGTCTACGAGAATGAGGGAATAGAACATGCTTGTACTACAGTTTTATTTTTTTATAGAATAAGGGTGAAAAACGAACGCACAGCCCACCTTGTTAGTAAGTGGATACTGTGGCCCATAGACATCTACATTTATCGTCGATTAAGAATCAAAATGAGTACTAAGATGGAATGCCTTATTTCCAGTAAAAAATATATGTTTTTCTAAACTCACCATAAGAAACAGCAGAATTAGGCTGTTACTTCAATTTTATTTTTTATTGCTATTCTGTGAGAGCTTATTCTGTAATAGGTGGTGTAATCGGAAGCCCACCTATTTGTGCTACAACCATAATATAGCTGCAGCGTGGCTCTATCACGTAAAAATTAAATTGACTGTAATATAATTAAATACAATTATTATTTGTAGGCCATACAAAATACAAATACTTGCTCCGTGCGGGATACGAACCCGCTGCAACTCAAAGCTATGCGACTGTATCCCAAAGCCGTCCATTGTAGCGAAGCGATTAATTTGACATATACGTCGTGTTCGTCCTAAATATAGACAATCGGGCAGTTAGTAGGCATGGGCAAGTGAAAAAAGATATCGATATAATAATCCTATCGATAATTTTATACAGTATCGGTATATATCGCGTCAGAAATATCGATATATCGTCATAGTTTTGCATGTTAAAGTTCAAAATTTTATTACTGACAGTTGGACGACAAAAAAAGACAACGGCATATGCATGCTTTTGTAGTTGCTTTTTTTGCTTAATGTTTTGTCGATAAATACAACATTTTCAGATTTTTTTTTAAATATATCGAAATTGATACGAATTCGATACTAAATATCGATATTTTTATAAGAAAATGTCGATAGTTCAATATATCGATATTTTTATCTATGGTGACGCATCTTCTCACCGCACGTCAATTCTTACTAGATTTTAGACAAGATTCAACAGTACTTTCCTTCATCATCTACCATACCGAGTCGATATTTGTATGTTACTAGATGGTAGGACTTCTTTTCTGCCTAGAAGTATGTTTTTTTTATAGGTGAACGATAGAGTTGTGAGAATACATGGAAGTTTTTTGTTTATATAGCATGGGGTGACAAACGAGCACACAGTCCCCCTGATGGTAAGTGGTTGCTGTGGCCCATAGACATCTACATGTTGTATCCTCGATTACGAATCAAATGCGTTTCCAGTAAAAAGGGTTTCCGGGTCTCTACAATAACCGTACGAAACACAGCAGCGTTAACATATGGTTTAATTTGGGCCATAAGAAGTTGGTTATCATCGTTCTGTAGCGCTCACTGTTGACGGTGACCGCCTCACCAGCGTCGTTTTCGAAAAAGTACGAACCTATGACGACGCCGGCCCAAAATCCACACCAAGCGGAAACTTTTTGAGGATGCATTATCCACCTGGTGAACCTCGTCCAACCGTGGGTTGGAGTCGCCCCATATACGGCAATTGTGCTTGTTATAACACAGCCATTAGTCCAAAAAAGCACGTTGTTGTTAAAGATGATTTTTCGACCAAAATTGTGGTCCTCTTTCAAACGATTCGAAGCCCCAGTCAGCGAACAAATGGTGCTGTCTATGGTCATGAACTTTGAGCTCTTGGGTCAGTTGGATCTTGTACTGGTGTAGGCCTAAGTACAGACGCAAAATTCGCCAAGTTGAAGTCTGCGAAAGGCAGAGTTCTTGTGCACGGCGAGGAAACGACTGCCTCGGGTTCTGTTGTACACTTTCACGAACCGCGACAATTTTTTCGACCGATCTTGTTACTTGAACGTACGGGTGTTGACTGATTGTTTGCCGAACCGGTTCTTTCAAATTTGGCTATCCAAACGTTAAAGTGTCGACTGTGTAAGGCCACCACGTCTACCGTAAAATGGACGCGTTTGCACTGACACTCATTTTGATAATAAAGTTTTATCATTTGAGCGTGCTGTTCAATCGTGAAAGTTGCCATGGTGATTTGGCATAAGTAACTGAATAATAAACAAAAGATTTAATAGACGTCACCAAAACAAAATGGCCGCCACAATCTACCCGCGCCAAATGAACAGCCTTTATAAAATAAAAGAAGAATGATATATCGTACGTAATCGTATTGTACATAATTACACACACATTTTTTTTGCTGATAGTTCGTCATATTAAACATACAAATAGCTTTGTAACGAAATCTAATTGCAAAATTTAATGACTGTCTTCGACCAATAGGTGGCGCCACACCGGCTACAAGCAGTTGTATTTAGACGGTTCGGGTTCCGTGTCACCGCGTCGGTCCAGGTCACCAGTACTCGGAAGACGTTCTAGGTATGAAGACATATTATATGTAAATAATAATACTTTAGTTGATGAAAAATATCCACTTTCCTGGTAAGACATGCAGGAAGTAGATGGATGCAGGTGGATCAGGACCAATCTTTGTGACATTCCTTGAGCGGGGAGGCTATTTGCAGCAGTAAACTTGTGAAGGGCTGTAATGATGATGATGATGATGATCCACTTTCGTATAGAAGAATTTACGAACTATGAATACAAATTGATATATTGAAGACTAGCTGTTCCCCGCGACTTCGCTCGCATGTTAGGGTTTTTATGTTTTTGCGCGGAACCCTAATTATTTTTCTAAAATAATAATAAATATTTATATCATTTCCAATTACACATGTTTACATACAGGAATAAATATGATTACAATTAAATAAAGTAATAATAAGTCTAACTAAAATAATATGCTATGATAAAATTAAAACTATGTGTAGCTTAATAATGTAGAATATACAAAATAAAAATAAAAAAGTCAAGTTTATAATATTAGCTACCTGCCTGAACTAGGTTGAGTACCTGTGTTTCAGACATCAAAATAAAAGTAGCCTAAGTTACTCCTTATGAAATCAGCTACATGCCAGTGAAAGTCCCGTCAAAATCGGTCCAGCCGTTTCTGAGATTAACCGGAACAAACGCAGACAGACAAAATTTTTTAAAATTATATTTTAGTTATAAGTATCGTATTTGCTTTTATATGCATTTAGTAAAAAACTCTAATTTTGACATTACAAACAGACACTTCAATTTTATTTATTTCTATAGATGTGTCAGATTAAGACTACCCTTAATCGGTGAGCATGGATGTAATGGAGGCGAGAGAGGTGTGTCAGGATCATGCTGAATGGAAGTCTGTAGTCTCTCTCTATCTATACTAATATAATAAAGCGGAAGAGTTTTTTTGTTTGTTTAAACGCGGTAAACTCTGGAACTGCCAGTCCGATTTGAAAAATTCTTTTAGTATATTACAGCCAAATTCATGTGGAATAGTATAGGCTATCTAGCACTAAGCTATATTACTCAGCTAGCCTTAAATATGGATATTTGTTAAGCAAGTCAGAAGAAAAAGCACTCCCGAAATGATTTATCCGCGTACGCTGGTGTTATCGTTAGGGATACGTAAATACAATGTTCTAGAAAAATATAGACCTTTACTCCGTCTAAAAAAAATTCCGCGATACCATGTCTATTTCTTATACATAACCCATAATTTGGTATTTTGTGAGAAAAAATATTGAAAGTTTAAAAGTGATTTATGAGCGTTATTATTAGGCATGGCCTATTTATCCTTACGAACGAAAGTTACTTCATCATCAGGACCATTTTATGAAGATAAACTTTGTTCTTTATACCATGTTATTTGGACGCATAGTTTAAGAGATAATGTAAAATTAAAATAATTCAATATTTGACTGAGTGCGCTAACGACGCTTAAACCCTAGCCGTTATAGAATGCTTGAACTAGGTCATGTCGCGCAGCACGGACACGTGATGACGCGGGTGAAACCGCGGGGCACAGCTAGTATCAATATAATATAGATGTTATTATGGCTGCTTTTGAATTGGTGTAAACATCTGAGAGGAGGCATGTGACCGGTAGGGATGTGCAAGTGAAAAAAATACATCGATATCTATCGTATCGATGTGTTTCAACAGCATTGATAATTATCGCGTCATAAATATCGATATGTCACGGTTATTAAAAAATAAAACTTTTTCAACAAGTCTAGTCGCCTCTTACGAAACTCACGGAACGATATGAATATTCATACACCGCCACTACACGGTAATAGATAATTTCTTGAAACATTTCATATATGGACAACGTCTTGCAATCGTCGGTACTCTAGGCGCTCACTTGATCTTCATATAAATAATTCGATATTTTAATTGTTGATCTTTTTTTATTTTTGGACTAGCTGTTACTAGCGACTTCGCCCCCGTGGAGTTATTTTTCGCGGAACGCTAAAATTAAAGCAGCCCAAGTTACTCCTTATAACATCAGCTATCTGCCAGTGTGTATAAATATTGACAAATATTGACATTGATATTTATACGATACTAACGTCACTCAATTGTTTTGCCTTCCCGGAACCTCTCCACTAACACTTAAACTTTATGGTATGGTATTAAAGTTCAAATTGACTTTTAAGTATTATTACGAAGCTTTTGTATGGGAATATAGAAAAGTGTTGTTTTTAGATATTTCAGACAATTTTTTAAATTTTTCTCTCCGTAAAACCATGTTCGTACTTCAAGGAATGTTATAAAAAAATAATTAGCGAAATCGGTTCAGCTGCTCTCGAGATTTGCGCTTAGCAACACATTCAGCGATTCATTTTTATATTATAGATAAGAATATAGTAATGACTCCAAGTTATATTTACCATCATTTAACAAAAAAAAATTACCTACTATATATACACTGCCTTGACCAATTGGTCTGATTGAGTTTGTCCAATAAAATGTCGGGGTCTGAGAGGTTAAATTTAAGATATATCATTTTCAAATATATCGAAATTTATACGAATCCTATACTCTAAAATATATACAAATTAATATATGATTTTGTGGGAAAATATTGATATATTTTACCCAGGCCCAATAGGATTAATACAGGCAACAACTTAACAAACTTGTATTCGTAAAACACTACAAATTTGAAGTGTATGTTTGTAATGTCAAAAGCACAATTTTGCAAATGTTTGTCTGTCTGTCGGTTTGTTCCAGCCAATCGCCAAAACGGCGTGACCGATTTTGACGGGACTTTCACTGGCAGATAGCTGATGTCGTAAGGAGTAACTTAGGCTACTTTTATTTTAGAAAAAGAATTAGGGTTGCGCGCAAAAGAAATTAAAAACTTTAAAATTAAAATTTTATCGTAATAAATTCCACGCGGATGATGTAGCGGGGAACAGCTAGTTCAATATATTTTTTAATGTAAATACAACTAATTCAAAATGAGATTGTCTATGCCTCTGGTAAGTTTCCATAGTATAAAGAACAATGATGCAATATTCTTTCAAAAGGCTTTAGGTTCAAAGCAGAAAAAATAGTTTGGAAAATCCAAAAGTGCACGCCTTGTCTATCCACGAGGGCTAAAGAAAATAATGAAAGCTACTTTAAATGTTTAGTTGCAACTAGCTGTTCCCCGCGACTTCGTCCGCGCATAATTTATTATGATTGGATTTCATGGGTTTTAATTTTTTGCGCGGAACCCTAACCTTGATCAAATTCATATGGGACCACACGAGAAGTATCGGCTTTCATTTAAAAAAAAAGTATCATCGAAATCGGTCCACCAAGTAAAAAGTTACAAGGTAACACACATAAAAAAAACATACGCGTCGAATTGAGTACCGTCTCCTTTTTGGAAGTCGGCAGAAAATGTATGATGATTAGAATGTATACTTTCTTAACATTTAAAACCAGAGCCGGTAGTGAAATTGGTATATCTATTTTTTGACCAGGTCTCCAGTGGTACGCCGATCCCGGTCTCCAGTAGTACGGCGATCCCGGTCGCCAATGGTGCGTCGATCTCGGTCTCCAGTGGGTCGTCGGTCTCCTATCGTACGTCGATCCCGGTCCCCAGTGGGTCGTCGGTCGCGGTCTCCGGTGACGCGTCGGTCTCGGTCTGCTCGACGCAGTCCACGCAAGTCACGCTCCCGTTCGCCACGGCGCAGTCCCCGTAGGAGTCCTCGTAGGAGCCCTATCAGGTAAATTTTTCCCCTATAACATTAATTTGCAATATATTTTGTACAATTAAGAATGAAAACATTTAGAAACTGTATGGTATCGATCACCTCATTCCCAGGGGTTGTTATCAATTATGTGGATTAAACTATATATGTATTGTAAATATTATCCTATTTTTATTAAATTACAATATTGTTAAGCATTTGAATATAATTATAATATAATGATTTGACTTAATTGTAGAAATGTAGTAGATTTAATTGTAACTATAACATTTGAATTGGCAAAGAACATCCTTTTTCTTTAAGATCTATTTTATTTTCTTTATTTATATCCACAAATAAATAAATTTGAATTTGAATTCTTATTAAACAATTAGTGTAGTAGTAAATAGTAGTGGTGATCGTAAAATTACTGACCCTTTGGAATCGAGTAGTTGGTATAACTTGTTCATTATCAGTAGTTTTGAATTGACTAAACGGGCTGTTTTCCGCTACTCCACGTCTAAGCGCGTATTATTTTGCGTGTGGGCAGGAATGATGTATTTATTCGAGCCATAAAATATCCTGGAAGACGTTCAACAGTCCTTTGATGTTGCAAACAACTTCGGGAAGTGATCCCGGCGTGCCGAGATGTTTAGCCCTGTATACAGCGACTTCCGGACATGTCAGCAACACGTGGGCCGCCGTTCCTCCCCCATACATGCCCTGCACAGGGGTCTGTTCGTAACACCTGTGGTAAATAAATGTTTGTTAAGTTGTTCCCAGTAGTTAGAGAATGTGTTGTGTGCAGACGCAGTGCGGGGCGCAGCAGCCCGCGCAGGCGACGCGCGCGCCCCGCGCCCCCGCCCCCGCAGCGCGCGCCTCGTCCGCCCTCGCCGCCCGCGCCCCGCCAGGTCGGTCACTTCTGCACCACTACACACACCCGTCACCGACAATTACACACACTAGGGATGGCCAAGGGAAAAAAATATATCGATATATATAGAATCGATTATTTTTAAACAGTATCCATATATAACGCGTGATAAATATCGATATATCGCAATCATTTGTACAATGTAAAGATAAAGTCCAAAATTTTATATTACTGACGGTTGGACGACAAAAAAAAAAAACGACAGCCAATCACACATGAAAACTTTTGTAACTTCTTTTGTTGTTACATGTTTTGTCATTAATACAACATTTTAAAATATATCGAAATTGATAGGAATTCGATACTCTATAATCAATATCGATATATCGTGATTTATAATATCTATAGATACAAAAATATAGATATATTGATATTTTTATTAAAAAATATCAATATATCTATATTTTTGCCCAAGCCTAACACACACAACTGTCTTTGAATACAGAGTATTATACGTGGTAGAGCCATGTTGCAGCTATATTATAGTTGTAGCACGAATGGGTCGACTCACAGGAGACCACAGTCGAACAAAACACCAGCGTGAAATATCAGCTTAATGCTACTTTATTTTGTATGTAGAGTGTTGAGAATCAGAAACCCTTTTTACAAGAAACGAGACATTCCATCTTAACCCTTAGGGATGACAAAGCATCTATATTTTTATTCTTAGTCAAGCATAGATGTAGATGTCTATGGGCCACAGCATCCGTATACTGTCAAGTGGGCTGTATACTGTGTTAAAAGAAATCTAGTCTTTTTTGCTGCGCTAGACAGGGTTAAAATGCAAAAGTAGAATAAGACTACCTCATTGATCTTTACCCCATTGATCTAAAGATCGTTAACTTGATTGCTGATTATGAGATCCCCGTTTCATAACAGTAATTGGATTTTTTTTTTGACGAAAAATTCTCAGTTGTTGCCCAGAGTCAGGAAGTTGGCGGTGTTTCACCTCCGTACCTTGGAAAGCAAAGCCATTGGTCGTACTCGTGATATCTCGCCGGTCATGTTGGCTTGACGTCCCATCGGACTATGAGAATAAAGCAATAGAGAGTGCACCAGAGCTTGTGCACACACGTGCACTATAATCCTGTCTTGCGCTGATGGCTGGTCTCCGTTGGGGCTAGCCACTGTGACCGAAATTCCATCTGGAGGGATTACTATTATTATAACCCAATGATGACCAACAACCACATACATACATACATCTACGGTCCTTGATTAAAGAGCAATGGCAGAAAAATAGTTGACAAAAATTATTGTGTCTAGAATTAAGTTATATATAAAATGAGTTTTACTATTTTTCTATAAAAATGTATTTTAATTAAAGCCACAGAAATACACAAACATTTTTGGGAATATCAAATGACTTAAATCATTTTACTCTATTCAAATGTTCCCATTTAGTATATTTATACTATTTTCGTATACACTTTGTAAGACTACCAACACAAACACAATATATTTTTATATTAAGTTATTATTAGTAATAACTGTACTATCAGTAATTATAAAAATAAAAGTGATATGGCTGAGAATAAGCTTCTTACAAAGAATTTCCTACAATAATACATTATCTCAATCATAGTACTATGTAACAATTCCATTTAATGTTATGCCAACACTAGCTAAAATAAAATGTCACTGTCTTTTTTACTGGCTTTACGGCTCTGGGTTCTAGCCCTTCTGAGAATGTCACTATGATACAAAAGACCTGGAGCCATGCCAGAAATATACATTTATAGTATGCAAATATATAATAGAGATACAATAATCTAAAAACTCTCAATTATGTATTATGTATTAAGCTAACATCAAACAACCACAGGAAGCATGACTTTTTCCAAGTGACATAGCACATAACCTAAAAAGTTCAAATGTAAATATCTTTTTTTGACGTCTTCTCAGTACAAAATTCTTTGACAGTTATTAAGGGACTGAGGCTTAACATTTTAAGATATTTTTGGTATATAGACGCTACCATTTCTTCTCAACTAATTTTATGTATGAAAGTCTGCTATTGTTCTTTATATAGGATCACATAAGAAGCAACAGCTTTCAAATAAAATAAGAATCATCGAAATCAATTCACCCAGAAAAATGTTATGATGTAACATTTTTTTTATTTATCATGCGATCAGTCCATGGACTATGAGCAGATTGGTTATATGACAGATTGGCGTACAGAGAAAACTTCCCCAGCGGGAAGCACTCCATAAGTCTCAGCTGTACATTGTCAAGTATATGCCTTCTCTTTAAACGACGAATCGTTTGTGGCATTGTCAAGTGCTCTTTTTTTATAGGAGAGGGGGCAAACGTGCATGCATGCGGCTCACCTGATGGTAAGTGACTACCGCCGCCCATGAACAACTGCAACACCAGGGGAATTGCAGATGCGTTGCCGGCCTTTTAAAAAGGAGTTGGCTCTTTTCTTGAAGGTCTCTAAGTCGTATCGGTCCGGAAAAATCGCTGGTGGTAAACTATTCCACAAGGAAGTTGTGGGAGGAAAAAAACTTCTTTTCAATTGCACAGTGGTGGACCGCCAGTCATCTTGATGGTGTGGATGGTATTGGGAAATCTGCCGCGATGTGTGTTCATGAAAGTTAGCGGCTGGGATTAATCCGAACAATTCCTCAGAGCACTCCCTGTGGTAGATTCGATATAAAATGCAAAGGGATGCAACATCTCTTCGCAGCGCCAATGAATCGAGACGATCGGAAAGGACTCGGTCGTCGATGATTTGAGCCGCTCTGCGCTGGATGCGGTCAAGTAGAAAAGCTGGCACTGGGGAGCCCCAGCCTAGAGATGGGAACAGTATTCCATGTGAGGCCGAACTTGCGCCTTGTAAAGTTGCAAGCGGTATGCCCGCATGAAATACTGTCCCGCTCTGCTGAGCACGCCAAGCTTTTTAGAGGCCAATTTGGCCTTCTCTTCCAAGTGACCACGAAACTGCACTTCACTCGATATGACAACGCTGAGGATTCCGATACCGGCTGAGGCAACAAGGGGAGTGCCTTGAGACTGGGGGTATAGAGCATCACCAGTGCTGTCATCCGCATAGCAATGAATGATACCATTTTGCAACATATCATTGATATGCAGAAGAAACAGCGTTGGTGATGAGTCTAAGTATGTGCAAGGCCTTCTTACATTTTCTTTAAAAAAGAATTACGGATACTATCCGTTTTTATATCCCACACAATTTTTGTTGGTAAGGTTAGGGTATAATTCTCTTGCAGTTCATCGTTCTCGCAACGTACTTACCATTGCACTCGAAATTCTAAGAGGCGTAAAAGATGCCCCCGAACTTCACAATACCTTATGCGAGACCTATGCTTGACCACTACTTGCGACATAGGCCATCTCGCCGGCTTAGATTAATCGCGCACGCTAATTCCGCACTATGTCGAATGCACACCGCAATAAACGCTCATGTGAGGGCTGCACCCGAATTTGATATATTTGCGGATAGTTGGAATGTGCTGTTGTGTCAGCTTGTTCACGATTTTGCGAAATTAATGATATATAATTTGTATTTTTTTCCATATTTATATTTTTTCTTAGAATAGGTATAGTTTTAGTTATAGCATGGTTTAGTCTCATGTGCCTTTCGAAATTATTAATTATTGTAATGTAATTGGATTAAAAACCGTTGTAATTAAATAAATAATTAAAATAAGATTCTGCCATAGTTCTGTACATCTGTTATCTTTTTCTACCAACTTTAAAAAATGGCTGGTACTCAATTCGACTGTATGTTTTTTTTTTATGTGAGTTTGATGATTCTTTTTTTATTCGAAAGCTGGTGCTGGTGGATCCCATATAAATTTGATCAAGGTCTAACCAATAAGTTTTTGAGTTATTCTTAATAATTTATATTGAAGTCGGTTGTATAATTTTTTTTTAATTATTATTATTTTGAGTTGCTGCTGCCCATCTCCTGTTACAATTGTCCTCTGTCGACTATCACTACACCCACGGGATGTGACTTAGTGGATATTCTTAACACTACCACTACATGCGGTTTATATAAGTATTGTTTAATATAAATAAATATGTGTGGTTTCCAGTCGTCTCCGTCAGGTTCATCGGGGAGCAGCTGTTCAGATGAGTCCTGCTCAGTCTGCTCTGCCAAGAATAAGAAAGGGCCTCCGCCACCCAAGCCTGCAAAGCCCAGGTAAGTCACATATTCAGTTGATCCTATTTTTTTTATTCCGTTTTAACTCTGTATTTCACATTTATCATAAGCGAATTCAGTTTTAAAGCATTGGGGCTGCGCAGCACTCTTTCTTACCCTAATAGCTTCAGAGGAACTATACAAAAAAATTAAGCAACAATTATTCAATATAGGTTACAGTACCTAATACTTATTGAAAGTCATTTTTTACTTTTACTTTCAATAAGTATTATTTATAATCTATATTGAATAAAATAGTTTCTGTTTTTGTTTCTGTATAATTATGAATAATGCACGAGTCACGAACTCATTCGATCGACTCACGATAATCCACGAACACTGAGTTTCGGTGCCGCCGAAGGTTAGGTAGATTTTTTGCTGACTCCGAAACAATTACCGAAACTAGATTTTTTTGCCGAATCTTGCCGAAACCGAATCTTCGGTCGGTCATTAATAATAACCCTTACTAGACAATATTTGCTTAATAAATAATTTAAATGTTTTGATAGAAAAGGTCTGCATATTAACATCCATATTTCTTCATATACATGCTTGATAGTTAGGGGTCTGTGATCCATCTTATATTTGTACATGGTAGAGTCATACTGCAGCTTTTTTCTTACAGCAGCACAAATGGATCGGCTTAACGGGGGAAAGTATGGTGATTGTAGAGAACCGGAGACCACTTTTACTGCAAATAATGGATTCCATCTTAGTCCCCAGGGGTATCAAGTGACAACAATCTGCATTTTGATTCTTAATCGAGGATAGATGTAGATGTCTATGGGCCACAGCAACCACTTACCATCAGGTGTGTTCGTTTGTCACCCTTATTCTATATAAAATTGTACAGGGAGAGCTAGCTTATTAATATTTTAGGCCCTAGTAGAACATACCTCGCGCTTTGCGCTTACGGCATACAAAATTGGTTTGTTTGTAGTTCAACTTCACCGGGACGTGCTGCAGTGGCTAAACGGGCTCCACCAACCACAAGCGCTACACGAGCCGTGCAGCCCACGCGTGAACTGCTCAAAGCCAGGGAGGCCAGCAAGAGGACTCGGGAGGAGAAGGTGAGTTTTTGAAGTGAAACCTGTTTTAGAATCGTTGTGATTTGAAACTTGTAGAAACGAAAAAGTGACACTAAAAAAAGACAACATATATATACATGTATAAGATTTAGCTGCGAGAGAATGAGATAGAATACAGTACACTTTCCTGTTATCTTGGTGTCTGCATAATATGTAATGTAATATGTTTAGAATAAAATGTAAAATAATTTTTAAACTTGGTTAGTATAGTGATAATTTTGAAGCTTTTAACAATATTGTACTTAAGGTGTGTTTCAATATACACTGCGAGCGCTGCTTAGTGCTCTCACTGGTGAAAACTTTGTTCAGTATACTGCCGCAGTACCATTGGGATATATATGACGTTATGAATCGCCGCCATTTTTGTACTATGAGTACTGGCGCTTTCTTTATCACGTGGTTAAAGAACATAACAGTGCTTTATTATTATTATTATTTGTGAGTCCAAGTGGATTTAAATTATTTCACATTACAGGTGCTCGAATGGCAGCGCTCCCAATTGGACGTGACCGGTATAAAGCGTGAGGGCGAACGTCGTCGACCGCGTCCAGAACGGCCAGAACGTACCGAACGTCCTGAACGCCCTGAACGAGGAGTCTCACCTGCTGCCATAGTGGCCGCTCTCGCAGACACCTCCTCAGAATCCGACTCTGAAGGCAGCTCCGAACCGCAACCACAACGGTTAACGTTGTCCGAACGCTTCGGCAAGATGGCACAGTGGTCGCTCGACAGATCCGCGAGGCTCGAGAACATGCGGATCACAAGACGAGAGGCAACTCTTCACGTGAGGATCGAACGCACCGAACCCCCAGCTGCCCCAGGAGTCTCGGGAGACGTTCCCGCCGGAAGCTACCCGGAGGAACTACTCGCTGCAGCACCAGCAGGACTACCTTCATGGGACGATGTGCGAGTGCGATACGACTACTATAAGAAGCGCGGTTACTTGCGAGGACTGACGCTGCCAGATTACGTGAAGTGGGAGGAGTGGTGGTACAAGTACCAGGAGTGGCTGAAGCGCGAGCGCGCGTACGAGCGCTGGGCCGAGGGCGGGGAGGGCGCGGTGGGCGGCGGCAGGAGGGAGCGGCGCCGGCGGGGGGGCCGCCACCGCCGCAGCTGAGGGCGCGCCGCCCCCGCCGCCGTGCTGGCCGTCGACCTGGCCAGCGCGCCCGCCGGGGGCCGACTGTGAGTGCACCTCCACTGTGTCCAACCTGCAGCTTGTAGCACTAGCACACCCTGTCATATTGTACACAATGCTTGGAGACACTTTATTGGAAATGAGGCAATCTCTGCCTATTGATTCTTAAATGAGGGTAGACATAGATGCCTATGGGTGGGTCACTGCACCATCAGGTGGACTGTGTGCTCATTTGTCACTATTATTCTTAAAAAAAAATTACATCAACTGTGAGTACTCACACTATACAGCGACTGAATATTCGCCCAACTACGAGTATTCTCCCCCTTGTTTAAGATTCTAACACCTGTGTTTGTCATTTATTCCAGGTGATTCATCAGCACATAAATTTTTTCAAAACGCTATCAGAAAAACAAAACTCTTGTATACATACACAATACATACGTATTGTGTACAAGCTCCCCACACGGAACAAATATTTGTATGGCCTACAAATAATTGTTTGTCCTTGTGCAATTTATGTTTGTAAACTGCCTCCACGGCACAAGAGAAAATCCTAGTGTGGAGGTAACGTTTTTTAAAGAAATAATAAAAAAAAAGGCTTATTTTAATCAAACTCATCAACTTTCATTTTCCAGTCAATACGTCATTAGCGAATTTTAGCAAACCTAGACAAAAAAGAGAAAGAATACGCTTTTAGATACAAAGTTAAAATTTCCTTTCACGGTCAGTTTGTCAGGTGAATATCTTTAAAGATGATATCTGACCTACAAGAATTTCGAAGATTTTTAACGGATTTATCTCATAGTGTATGACCAAGAGTGACTACTACAGCTCAAACTAATTAGTTTTTTTTTCTAATATATAGGTGGTAAACAAGCACACAGTCTACCTAACAGTTAGTATACACTGTGGCCTATAGACATATCTACATTTATCCTCAATTAAGAATCAAAATGCAGATGTGTTGTCACCCCTGAGGGTGCTCGTTACCAGTAAAAATGGTCACCTATTTCCTACACTCACCATACAAAACACAGCAATATTAAGCTTCTACATGTGGTCCTGTGAGCTGACCCATTCATGCTACAACCATATAGCTGCTTCATGGCTCTATCGCATCTAAAAGCTATTAAAAACAAACAAATTATATCATACTTGTAATTCCCCTGTTTAGTTCCATCAAAATTAGACTTTATATATCTAAGTAAAATTCCAGTAAATGGATACGTTTTTTAAAAAAAAATAGGATCAAATCCTCCTAAATTCAAAGTACCACATCCAAACTTACTTCCGGTACCTAGAGGCCTTAATTATTTTTTGATTCTACCTACTCCCAATGAAATGGGTGTAAGTTATGAATAATATCTTATATATAAATGTTTGTTTTACAGATAAATTGGTTCGGATACAGAAGACTGTTCCTACATGAATTAATAAGGAGAGCAGTCAAGCCGAGTCAGTTTTGTGTCGTTAAAAGCCACTTAGTGTTTGTGTTGACATTCAGACGTAGTGTTAAGTGATTGTGTGAGTGCAATGAGGAAGACGCTCAAGTGACTTCCGGACAACTGTATGTGATTGTGTTATTGGTAAATTTATCTTCGTAATATTAATAATTATTCAATATTAGCTAGAGGGAAATTGAACTCCAAAACATGTCTTTCCATTACTGCATATTGTCGTTTTTAAAAGTGCACCATCTGTAATTTTACAACATCATGCTTGTAATCCACAAGCGGTGGGTGGAGTACATTTTGTCAAAAAATATGGGTTTCACATAAACCCAATATCCCATTAGTCACATTTTACAACTTAATTGGCGAGTAACACTACAAATGCTTTTTTTATAAAGTCCCCCTTACCTTAAAAATTTTGCTTATATTTACTACATGAGTCAGCTGGTTGGATTCAGAGCTAATACTTCATCCTGGTATCATTGCTATCCATAGTCGAGGTGTATTGCCAAGGATTTGGTTTTAGCATCTCCCAATAAATAAAATTCCATTTTGGAAGAACCAATTGGAGGCACAATATTCCACTCCCCCTGCTCCTTCCCTTTTGGGATACGCTCATGTCTAGCTGAATAATTATGAGCTTCAGTAACTATTATTCAATATGTGCATTATATAAATAATACTTATTGAAATTCACTTATGTTTAATTTACCATTGGTTGGGAAATTCTAGGAAGAATCAACGAAAACCTCAGTGGGACTTCTTTTTAAAACAATCATTAAAGTTAACAACACAAATCAAATCAGAAATAGCTTGGTAGCGATGACCTCACTCCCAGGGATTATCATCACCCAACATCCACATTATATTCTTCACTGTTGTGCAAATAGAGTATCAAATATTTACCTCTACAAAGAGGTTTCGTCTATAGGTCTCGGATGATATTTAAAAGTATATTAAATAGTTATAAAGTGTGTTTACAAGTTCGTATTCGGTAAGATACATTTTTCACTATGAATAATGGTTGGTTTACATTATTTTACTTTTTAAGAGTTGTTGAGCAGAGTGCTATTAGTAGAAATGTGTAAATGATAGCTTGTACTAATTAAATACTACTAAAATCAAACATAATTGCTCTTTAACAGACTATTCCAGAATGACAGTAATGTCTTAACCGCGGCGCCCACCTAAGCTACATGATTTCGACATGGCTTGTAGCATGATTCTGACGATACTGTGACGTGACCACGGGTGACACTGCTTGCAGTGTCACCCGTGGTCATGTCACAGTTTGATGAATTCAGTTTGAGCCAAAATGTCGTCTGAAGAAGATAAACATGCCCTTGCTATGCTACAGATTTCAAACATTGCAAATGCCAGCAAAAGATTTGGGGTACATGCTTTGAGGAAAAAAATTGAAAAATGGTGGTACTTTCAATGCTATGAAGGAATTAGAATTATATTTTGCATAGGCAAGTCACTATAAGTTGCAAGAAGTATCTTGCAAATTCCTGTTAATGTAATCGGGTCTAGAATAATCATATTGTATACATGGCCTTTCATGAAAAGAAAAAAAGCTAGTTCGTCTTTCATTTTGTATAGACAAGTCACTGCAAGTTACGTGTTACGCGCCACTTCAATGCGTCACTAGTAGCAAGCTGAATGGCACGTCAGGTCATACAGCATCACGCCACGCTAATGGGCGCTACTACATATAATCTCTTTGAATGTTGAGGCGAGTGACAAGTTACGCGTCAAATCACGCGTCAGATCACGCGTTACGTTAATTAGGTGGGCGCCGCGCTTTTAGATTCCATTTATGTATGTATGTCTATTTCTTTGGCACATTCTGTTGCCAAAAAGCTTGATAGATTTTAACATATGGTGTGTTTTTTCTTAGTGGTAGAAGTGACATAAGGTATAAAATTTTTCTTTTTTCGTAAAAAAAATTTACGCTGTCAGGTTTTGTTTAACTTAAGTTTTAAACCATTTAGATTCTTAAGTATTGTTATTTTGATTCTACTAATGTACTCTCTTAAAGCACTTGGATAATGTGAACCGGACATGATTCATGGATTATTATGAGAAGTCTTCAATTTGTGTCTGTAGTTTACTAATAATATAGTAGTAATAAATGTATATGTATCATGAATGTATGCAGTCACTGCATAGATATTTATTGTTTAGTAATTTAATTTAATGAAAGAAAATGAGATTTTATAACTTGATTGTATAGTTTACTATTCTATAATAGTTTGTATACTTAATAGACATTTTGTTTTCTGTTACGATCTGTTTCTTAATATGGGGAATTATGAAAGATTTTCGACGAGTAATTTGTCACAGTAATGATTTTTCTACGCTATTCCTCAGAAGACAGATCGTATATGAAAACGAAATGTATCTTTAATACAGAAACCTATAACTAGTTGTATAATCTTAGGTATGACTATGAACAAAGTAATGTTTATTACATATACATATTTAAGTTTATTTTATATTTACATGCTTACATAAAGTGATCCCGTTAGGGGATGTAGATGTACAATTAATGAATTGAGTATTATGGTATATATTTAATCAATAGAATCTTATTAGATGATTAGAACTAACAGATCTTGCATAATATGTTGTGTACATTGTAAGGCACATTGGATTTTAGTTGGCGGGTACTGCCAATCTTTTTTTCTCTTTAACCGTGTTGAGACCAGCAAAGGACTTCTTATTTTTGAGGTGAAAACTTTTTAGGATCATTGTGATTTGAAAATCTATGAAACGATAATACTAAAAAGGGACAAACACATACATTTATAAGATTTAGCCTACGAGAGAATGAGATAGAATATAGTAGACATTGTTTCCTATTATCTGTCTATATGTCTCTTCTTTGTGCAGTACTTTAAAGATAATTAATATAATTTTTGGATAAAAATAATGCAACCAATCCATTCATAACAATCCACGATTTCATAACTTAGCGATTTCTAACGTATCTGGTGTCTGTTTTATGTACCACCTTCAAAGTCAATCAATTTTTGTTTGATAAAATGACTTCACAACATGAACATCTCTCCAGCAGTCGATGCCTATTTAAACTCAATGTGCTTTCAGTTTGTTCATTGGCAACAACTTCCTCAGTCGTGTAGAGACTGAACAAAATGGTTCACTAACAACACCACCGTAGGGTTCATTATGTGATATTACAAAATATTGACTGCTTGATCTAGTTGTCGTAAACGAATATGTTGATCATGTGACAAGATATACGCGGTAGAAGCCCAAAGTGAGAAAGTTGACGAAAGTGTGTTTTACGTGCCTCGAATAACACATAAAAGCTGTTGGTCCCTTCGCTTGATCTCTGATAGTGCCAGTTTGCCATCCCGTCGGACTATAAGAGTGAATGGAATAGAGTGTACCTTTGCTTTGCACTGGGCACTATAATCCCGTCCTGCATTTGTAAAATACATCTGTCATGGGAAGAACCCAGCAGGACTTTAAAAAAACAGTTAACCATAATGTTTTGTTGTG